CATAAAATAAAAAATGCAATAATAATTTTTTAGTAAAAATTAAAATTTTTTAAAACATTGATAATTAAATAAAAAAAATTTTTTAATACAAATTATTTTATTAGTTTAAAATTATTTAAATTTAAATATTTATTAAATAATAACAAAAATAAAAATTGCCATTATTTTTGTCCCATACTGTATTTTCCCTGCCTTATGCATTTTATATTGTGTTAATAAATTTTTTTTCTTATCGTTTCCCTGGGAACGGTTTTTTGCCAAGAAGTGATCTTCTGATTTCGTATGATTATACATCACATTTTATATAAAAAAATGTCAGATGCACAAGCCCAAAGGGACGAGTCTAAAGGTTTACAAACTACAATTGCTTCATTAAGAGAATTAAATTCTAAACTCTCAGTTGAGATTGCCGAACTTAAAAGAAATATGCTAAGGTTGAGGCTGAGAATATAGAGTTAAAGCAGATTATAGAAGAGAATACTGAATTTAAGACTAGATTCGAGGCACAAGATGGAAAACATAAAACTGATATTACAAACCTTATAAATGAAAATACCGAACTCAAATCTAGGGTTTTAAAATTGGAACAAAAGTTATCACAAAATGATGAAGAAAAAGGCGATCTTATTGCTAAATTAGATGACGATACTGCATCTTACAAAACAAATTCTGATAATACCCCTGAACAGATAGAAAGTATATCCGAAAATATTTCTAATTCTGATATATACCAGGAGACGAATATTCAATACTCTGAACCACCTATTTGTACGGAGTCAAGACCTTCTGAAGATAAAAAGATTGATGAATCTCTGAATCGGGTACATAAAGAAACCGTTAGTAAAGAAATAAGAGAAAGAAATCGGGAAAAGAAGATTCAAGTACAAAACTTATCTTCGAATAATAATTCACCGGCTCTAAGGGAGTGTCTCTCTGAGTCATGTGATATAAAAAACATTCCTAATACCTCTTTACCGGTGGAAGATCTTGACGATTCTGATGAAATTGAGCTTACTAAAAATCAAAATATAGAACAAGATTTACTGTAATACGAGATTTATGGAATGATATTCTTTTTGTTTCATCTGATCCCGTAGAAATACTTTCCAAAGTTATCATGGATAATGAGTCAAAGACTCGCTCCTTTGAAGCTGAAAAACTATCAACTGATGAATCCTCCAAAATCACAACGCAAAGCTTAATCTATTTATTTAAGAAAGCAATACGATCTGGACATGAAGAAATTTTATCCTGGATTCGCTATTCAGATAATTTTGAGAATAAAGTTGTCGAAATTCGACATAAGACAGGAGTTAGCGATAAAACTGCAAGAACTCAAATACAGTATACAAAGAGATGTTAGAATATCTACCAGGTGTTACATCAGTTGCCTTGCGAATTAAGACTCTTAGGGCCAGAAAAAATCGTAAGCTATTTGGGGAAAACTGAGTTGGAATTGATAAAGTTAGGTATGTTACCTACAGTGCAAATTATATTTCAAAATTAACCAATACGCAAATTCAAAACATTATAGATCAAGTAACTTCAAAAACAGTTTTCCAGGGAAACGATCATAATCATGTGATCTTAACTGAGGATCTCAAATCTTTACCCAATACCGAGGTAAGTGTCTCAGATACTGAAGCATCACCTAATAATACGACTCATATATCTAATTCCTCTGATGTTGATAATATAGGTGAGGTCGAGACACAGGTAAGCGCACTCGATAGTTCTTTATATTCCTTTTGATGATGAAAATTCTTGTGATGGGGACGGTGACCCACAGAGTGAGGATGTTATCGCATCTGATGGCGGAGATTTCTCTGATGACAACAACGAAGAGGAAGATGATGATGATGGGTTCTGTGGTTTCTCTGATGATGACGATGAAGGTTATTATTATGATTTAAATACCGGTGAAACTTATACAAAATCGGAGAGTCGAAGACTCGATCCTTTGGATCATCGTTCAATCTGCACATATTAATGTTGATCGAATATCTGTGTTGCGCAATCGGCATGTGGTTTTTTTTCTAGACACAACAAAAATATTTGGGTAAAATTTATTACTTTTTCAGACGAAATCTAACCCCCCTCCTCATTTATAGATTCCATGTAAGAGGGTGGTCGACTACTTTTAACATCGAACATACTAACATCACTGCCATTTTGCGATACAGATATATTAAGGGATGAGGTAATATTTACCAACTCAGATGAAGATGGGTATGTAGCATTATCTATTGCAGAGCAATGGCTTGAAGAGCCTAAATTTCCATCTACATCATTCGCATTATGACCTGAATTCCCACTTCCATCATTAACAACAATAACATCATTTACATTATTTACATTGTTTCCATTATCTTGATTATTATTATTGGTGGTGGCCGTTTCACTGGTATTCTCATTCCTTCTATTATCTTGATTATTATTGGTGGTGGCTGTTTCACTGATATTCTCATTCCTTTCACTGGTCACTCTTTGGGTGGGTGATGCGAATCGATTCCTTTGATTAGTGGTGGATCCACGGCGACACGTACTTAGAATTGTTGACACTTCATAAGATGGTGGTGGGTACGGTTACGGCGACGTCTTTTGGTGGATGTATTTGTATTATGAAATATGTCGAATGGGGTTTCTATATTTCATATACGAGATAAATTTATGAGTTATCCATATAGCGAAGCTAGTGTAAAGACACATATTTACCACCACAGTGATAGATTGTATCATAGGTGATCTTACTAGGTCTCTCCCAAAAATGAGAATTAAAATCTTCAAAAAAACGTTCACCTGCTCTGCTCCTCTTCCCGGT